CTGTGCCTGGTCTGCGCCAGCGTTTTCGTGCTGACCATCACGCTGACCTCCAGCTCCGGTCAGGGCGGAAAGAAGGCGCATTCGTTCAGCAGGGACACCCCCGTTCACTGGACGGGCATGCGGCCCTCATGAACTCCATCGCAGAGGCTGTGCTCCGGCCCAATCACCCACCTGCCAGCTGGTTATCCCCTGACTTTGGACTCGATTTCGTTAACGTTTGCGTTTTCGCTTCCGCTTCGATTCCGTGCTGTCGTTCCGCTCCACGTTTTGTTTCCTCTGAGTCTCCGGGTCTCCGGTTGCCCCCGACGGCATAACTGACGTCCAACGATTGTGGGAGAGGAGCAAGTAGAAGAGATACAGCAGCAACTATCGAGGAGGCTGTAAGTAGCAAAGGCCTTGAGTATGGGTTTCCGAAAGTAGAAATGGATGCTGTTTAATCGGGACAAGGCCAAAAGCTCAGAAAACTTCGATTGTTGTCTTTAAAGCATCGTTACATTTGTGCCCCACGTTGGGCGCCAACTAGTTACATTCACATTTCCCAATATTATTCATATTTCTAGCATTGACCTCTTATCAATCACACATCAACAGTCGAAATTCTCTGCTGACTGCCGCTTTTTATAACTAACAACTCTGAAATTCAAAATATTTGCCATAAATACTTAAGCTGAAATGAAAAATTCTTTAAACTGCATTCCATCTCTGCTCCGTCGATGCAAATCAATGAACGAGGTCAGCTTTGGTACATTATCGGGCTTAAGGGACCACAGTCAGTGTGGCCATATTGCCATATGTCCTCACAGACCATAAAACTGTGCAAATACAAATATGTATGCCAGTTCCGGCTCCATCTCCCTTCTGTCCACCAACCAAAACGCCCCCACCCACCCACTCCTCAAACACCGAACACACAAACAAAGGCAAACAAACATGCAAACACACGACGCAGTAGCTGGGAAGGAATTTTCAAATATTGAGCTGGCAAAAGCTCAGCAAAATCTCGAGCATTACATAACTGACTAACTGACTAACCTGCCAGGCAAACACGCACACGGCCATAAAAAATGATGCTGTACTTACTTACCATGACTTTAATGACTTTGACTGCATCAGGAGCCGCAGCATCTTCTTGCCGCAAAGCCAAACTAATCAGCACGTGTGTGCGTGAGCGTGTGTGGGTATGTGAGTGTTATTTAGCCGAGGACAAACAATGCTTAACCGACTCTCAGTGGGTGGCAGTGGGTGACTTACTGACCGACAGACAGTCAGACAGACAGACCGACTGGCAGACTGGCAGGCTGAGCAGCCAAGGCCTGCGAAGACCTTTCCCTTGGTTATCCTGCTCTTTTTTTATACACTCGCTTAATAGTTTTGTTTGTTAACGTGTGTGCGTGTGCGTGTGTCTGTGGGTGTGCAGCATCATTACGGCACGGTACGCTTGGTTTCCTTTTTATTATGTGTGCGTGTGCCCACAGACAGGAGGCACGCTCACACCCATAGCCTTAATTTTACGTTGACGACATGGAAACTAGGTTACTTTTTCAACTGCGCCTCAGTGAGCATCAGAAAAGGGAAAGTGCAACAACAGCAGTGGCAAAAAAAAAGAATAAATATAAACTAACAACAATTGTTTATTATAAGGCAGCTGCAACAGCAGAAGCAACTCATGCTAGTGACATTGCCTCCCCCATCAACCGATGGCCTTGTGAAAGCCTCATGTCCCATGTGACCGCTAAAGTCCCCAAATTGCCAAGCCCACTGGTTAAGTAAGTTGCAGCATACACATAAAAAATGCGACAAATTGACAGTTCGCGCTAAAAGAAAGTTTGAGGTCAGAGAAAAATCCAGCCAGAAAGTTATTTCTTCCTTATCGAAAAGTTCAACTGCAAACTGTAAAACAAACCGCTTTATCAAGCTGTAGAAAGTCCAAACTTGTTTGTCATAGGACGTAGAAAATATATCTTATGGATTCATTCCTCAGAGTGCGATTAACTGGCATGCTAAGCCCTAATCGAAAAGTTTAACTGCAAACTCCAACAGAAACCTTTTGGTAATGCAATAGCTATGGGAGGCCCCACGTTGGGCGCCACTTTATTTGCACAACACTTTTCAATGCACTCTCATCTCGCTTAGTTATTATTTACACTTGACGTAGTTCCTATTGTGATATTCATAATTGAAAGCAATAATGGACGAGTTGTTTCAACAAGCTTTCCATTACCAAGGCAAATCTGTTGCATGTTACATCTCCATCATGCTCTAGTTAAATCACAAAAGGGAGAAAAAAAAGCTAATGCCACTGGCAAACCAGACGGCGGAGGCAACAAAAGTGCATCAATAAATTCAATTTGAAGGTACAATAGATGCAAAACAATCCCTAGAGCCACAACCAGAGCCAGTTCCATTCCCAGGCTGCTAATTAGGCGTCGGTCGACCATCCGTCAGGCAAACTGGCGTGACGGCCAGGACACAGAATCTGAGGGAGCACCAGAGGGCGGGGGTCTTTTGCTTTCAACGGCACATTTATAATTAAACAACATGAAAGACAAAGCGCCCGGCAGACAGAGCAGGCAGCTGAATGGAAAGTGTGGGCAGGCCGGGGGATCTGGAGGCCCAAAGTTGCTCGGCAGCATTTATGAGCGCCCATAATGGCTGTTAACAATTTAACTTGTTTACCGGTGGGAAAGTTATATGTTAATTGGTCTCGTATAGCCTCGCACACACAGGCGCACGTGAGCTGCTCCAGGAACTGGGCACGCACATGGTTCACCACGTCCTTGAGGACATGGGGAATGATCAACTAGGCCGTGCCCTGTAACCAAGGGTAGTTTGATTTAAAAGGTAGGTGTTTTAACAGGATAATCTTAAATAATTTAGAAATTTTGAGGCTCCTTTTAACTAATTTAAGACATTTAACTTTTGGTTATCATCATTTCAAAAGTATTTTTTGATAAAGCGGTTGTTAGAAAAAAAATTGGCAATTCAAAAATATCAATATTTAGATCCTTCGACTTCTAAGTTATATATTTCAGTTTCAGTATTTACTTTAAATACCATAGTGACTCTAAACATCCCTCCCAACTAACTGAAGGAATAAGGATATATGGCTTATTAGTTACTATAGATACTAGTGTTACCCAGAGGATTCCCCAGGGCCCCATAGACTCTCTGCATGCAGGAGATTATTAATCTGCGAATATATAATACCCAAGAAGCAGCCAAATCCACCCTTCACCAGCCGGCCAACTCCAGTGCCCGAAAGCAGGCCAAAAGGAGGAGCCATTGTGCTAAGTAGCTCCTACTTAGTTGAGCAGCAACAAAGCCAGCCACAAACAGCACTTGGCCAAGTGAATAATGGCAGGCAGCGTCACCTGTTCCCGGCCACTCCCTATTTTCCACTTTCTCACTCCCATTTCCCACTGCCACTTCCCCACTTTGGCATTAACACGTTGCGATTACGCCTCATAGCCCATGCAAAGGCACGGGCTGGGGGAGATGGGTAGCTGGATGGATGGACATGGACACATCCTGGCCAGGAGGGTGGAAACCACCATCATGCGGCCTTTGGCCCACATATATGCATATGAATTTGATGACGACAGCGGCAACGATGTGTGATGTTGCATCGTGGTTGCACTTCCACTCGTTAAAGTCCCTGGCTGCGGGTGGAAATGGGATTACTAATTTTTGCAATTAAATGAGAGCGTAAAAAGGGGAAAATTACTTAAATTTTTGCACTAGCCTTGCAGCAGATTGTATGTGTGTGTGCCTGTGTTTTTGTTTGCCTTCGTTGGTCGTCCATTTGGGGCAAGAATTTTTTAATTAAATTTCAGCCGAGCACAAAGTGTGTTCGTGTAAACTGCGCAATGGCAGAAAAATATACACAAATATTCAACCCGATCTCTGGAACTCTGTGAATTAGCAGCTTTTCCAGCAAATCAATCAAATTACACACACAACACCGGACTTTAACGTACAAAAACCAGGCAACTAAAACATTAAGGGCTATATATGCAACAGTTTCGCTGGCGAATAAACAAAACAACCAAACATTGTGACTGAAATTGTGGCAACTGTGTCCGCGTGTATGTTTGTGATTGATTGGCAAACAAATTTTGACACTTTACACAACACCCACGGGGCAGGTGACCAATGTTTGTCCATCCAATTCGCACCCCTTCACCACCGATCACCGATTTCCATGACGAATCCCATTCCCATTCCCATTGCCAATCCCGTTTGCCATCTCCAGTTTGTTGAGCGTTAATTAAAACTGCTGTAAAATGCACAAAAGCGTTGAGCAAACAGCAACCGCGACGACAATCGCAGGGGGTCATGTCAAGGGGGTTTTATAAGGGGGGTTTTGGGAGGGTTTTCTTTTTTTTTAAGGGGGGTGCGAAAAAACGAGAACCGTGTGTGAAATGGGGTATATGTACTTGATAACTGCGCACATATGCAAACGTGATAACGCACAGCGGAAACGGAAATAAAAACAGCGCAAGATGAAAAATGTTGGACTGTGTTTAAAGTAAATAGTCTGGATTGATGAAAGTTGCATTCGAGAATTCATCAACAGGCATTTACTTCAACTGCAGTTTGAACGAAATGCAACAGGAAAATAACGAGTGCGCAGTGAATTTTGAAATATGTTTATTAAGTATGCCCAAGAACTTGTTCCATTAGAGTTATTAAGTGTTGAAAAGTAGGAACCAAAGATATGATTTTCTTAAAGTATTGCTCAATTACCAAAAATTGAAACAGCTAAAATATCATACAATCATACGGTTTATACAAATTTTCCTTCAAATTAACATATATTCAAAGGTTTTTTGAGGCTGTTAAGATGTTTTAGTAAATGAGCAAAGTACTTAGCATTCCTTTAAATAAAAATATTTATATATTAGATATATACCTTCGTTATTATAAAATGCACTTTGCTTCAGGGCACTTTATAACAAATAAAAACCGAAATCATTTACACCGATCTTTATTCCTGACAGTGCGACAGGAGAATGAGCGGAACATCCGCGAGAATCTGGAGCGCACCTGGATGATGAGGAACCGCACCGAGTTGAATCTGCAGCGCCAGCAGATGGAGATGCAGATGCAGATGCAGACGCAGATGCAGATGCAAGGCGTTCCCTGAGCGGAAGGAAGGAAGTGACACCGCTGCAGCAGCGCCATTTGCGACCGGAAGAGAGATGTCAGCGCGTGCTGGAAATGCCAACGGTTGGCAACAGGAACAACAAGTTTGTGGCAGGAAGCCGAAGGACCCTTCTTCCTGCAACCCCCCACAACTCCCCGTTTTCTCCCATGCCCCCCAAATCAAAGTTATGCGCACAAAAGCTACAAAGAATAACAGAAGAATCCAAGAAAACGAAACAAAAGAAATTGTTAACTAAAAAATACAAAATAACTAATTGAGGATGGAGCACTCCGAAGTGCTCGGCTAAAGCTAAAGTTAATGCTAATTGTAGTTAAGTCTGCCCGAGCGGAAATCACTTGTTTTATATCTAACTGAGAGGTAGACTCCACTTAGAGCAAACAAAATATAAAATCAAAAGTGATGAAGTTTAGTCAATAGTTAAAAACGTTGTTTATAGAGTTACTTCGATGGCATTTTAAATGTTAGATCAGGAACGTTCTGGTACTCAAATTCGCCCGAAAACAATTTATTCAGATTTAAAATCACTTGAAAATGCACCTAAAAGTATGCCATAGTAGTTTTTATTCCAATAAAATCCATGTACAAAACTAGTTTGTACTTTTTTTCACAGTATATATTAGGCATATTTTCAGGTGGTTTTAAAACACTAGAGAATTCTACGTCTGTTCCAATATTTGGTATACAATATGTTATAAACTTTAAAATTTAAAATACAATACTTATTTTATTACAATCTTTTAATATTTCAAAAATATTATATTATTCTTATAAGTTATGACTTCACAACTACAATTTAAATGGCGAAATTGTTTACCAGAACGCACCTGATTGTCCTGTAATTATTGTGCTAGGATATGATCTAGTTGAGGCTGCAGGACGACGCCAATTGGAGGGAGCAATTAAGCGAAAGGTTTCGAGTGTTCAGTTGATTAGCCAAATGGTTTCAATTTTTCTTTAGCAGAGTTTTTACACCCCTTGGTTTTCCCACCCAAAAAGAACTCCCCTCCTGAATGGCGTCGACTGGGCAGCTGGCGAGTGGAAAAAGTTGGTCAATAGTTACGTCTGAAGCTAAGTTGTTAACTGAAAAGTACTCCTAAGTAAATGTTAATAGCAATAAACAACGGAAAAGTTTTTGTATCTCTTAGACGACGTTGGAGAAGAGTTAGCTGAGGAGCGCAAGCCGAAGTATCAAGTATTCCAAGAACCATTTTGAGTAAAAATACGATTTTCATAGGTTAACGATAATTGTAAAAGCGCAGCAAAGAAACATTCAATAGATTTACTCATACTTGGAAAACACAACTTGTGCCAATGACAAAGAAAAACAAAAACCTACAAAATCCTAATGAGAACCTGCAGAAAATGTGTGGCGTAGCGTAAATTAATAAACAATTGAATTATAATAACAAGGAAAGTTAGATAATTAGCGGATCGATGTGAAAAAAACTGTTACTTAAGTGCAAAACGAGCTTGTTGTCGAATTAATTTTTAAATGGATTTAAACTAAGTGAAACTAAGCTAAATGTTAAATGTTTTTTTAGGTGTTCAATGTTACAATTAATTTGTGGTCAGGCAGCCGAAATGAGGTCGAATTGATTGCCAGCCTTTGCCAAATGAATAATTTTACGAACCTGTGCTAACTCAGTTGCAAAGTTTAACGACAAAATTTAGCTTGAAGCAAACTTCTATCGGTTTCAGCCAACTAAAGCTTGAATACAAAGTTGTGAACTAACTTCCCTGTCCGCCCGTCTCCGTCTCTCAGCCCAATTACCAATTATCCGGAAATGTATTTTACATCGCAAATGTTTCCTAATATTCGCCCGAATGCACAAGGGCAATTTGATAGGTTTTTGGTTTCTGGCGTTAAATTAATGTGAGATCCACAGATAGGAATAATATTGTTTTGCCCAGCTTTCACCTGCATAAACCTAATAAAGATACAAAGAGAAAATGGCAAAATACTTGTGGGACAAACACACTATCTTTTGGCAAAAATCTCTTTGATCTTCTTTGAGGCATTAGCCCTCTAAAAATAATCAATAATATTTTTCAATGTCTACGAATACCAATATACATACATGTCGCTTATAGATTTTATTTATAATTTATTCTGTTAGTATACCAAGTATCTTTATTCCTGGCAAGCGGGGAAGCAAAAGTTCAAGGATGGGCAGGACGAAAACAAATGGAAAGCTTTAAATTAGCTCAATAAATTGTAATCTTATACATTTAATCGGATCGTTGTTAAATGCAATGCAAGTACGTCAAAGACATGGACTCACACACCTCATTCAGATTTGTAAGATTTGCATTTCGGTCTAGGAATCAATTTCGTATTTGACCAGCCGTCAGGTCGCAGAGGCTAAACACATTCAAATTTAGGCAAGGAAACCGCAAAGGATACTTAATAATATAAACAATCAAGCAACACATTGTACTTAGTAATTGCATTTAACATGTGGGGCGGAGAATATTTACTAGGTTCGCATAATTGATTTAACTGCATGCTTATAAAAATAACGAAAGTAAAGGGGATATTAACTGAGTGGAGGTGAAGAGACCTAATTGAAACAATATAACTAATGTGTGTAATTACGGCTAGCTAAGTGTAAAAATTTAAGCTGAATTATTATACAACCAACTACAATCGAAGCAAGTAAATTGATGTAATTGAAATACTCGTAACGTTTTAGGGCAAAATACCAATGAATAATGGGCGATGACACAGGTTCAACTCAAACACGCAGCATGAATAAATTAATGAATAACGAAATTATTTCTCGAGAAAAAATCAAACTTTTTAGCCTTTGAACGAGAGACTTTTGGTGCCCAATCCAGTTTGAGCAATTATTTACAAGTGAATACCAAAAAAAAGTAACGAAACACAAAGAAAGACACTCACTCAGCAGAAGAGCCACACACACAGCATACGTATTGTAAATAGAACAACAAACCAAATGAGTAAATACCAAGTAGGTACATAAATTAATAATGTAAAAGGCTTATCCCAAGTAAATCAACATTAAATAAATTAACAACGGAAACGGAAATCAAACAAAAACAGGTAATACTTCAACTTGTGTGCAAGGAATCAACTTTTACTGTTAATTGTTGCTGGCAATGCAAAACGCAGAGCCAACCGAAAAACAAAAAACAAAAAACCAAAAACGAAAATTACAAAAATAAACCATGAAAAATGCAAAACAAATATATTTAAAAATACATTTGAACGCCTTCAGCGTTTTATTCATCAAGCAAGAAATGTTGAATCGAAAGAAAAAGTCAAACAAAAGCCATACAAGCGATAAATCAATTTGTGTCACCTGTGTAGTAAGTATATCTCAGTATTTGTAACTGAAATTGAAAAAGCGTTGAGGTGCAGGCTTCAACCACGGCGACAACAAGAAAAATCAAATGAAAATAAACTGAATTTACAAGTGGACTTTGTGTATTATTTACGACCATGCGGTGTTTGTCTAGAAATGCCATGTCCTTTGATAAGGCGAAATTTCTCCGGGGGGAGGGGCAATAAATCATAATTTGCGTTAAAGTAAGTACACATTTATCCATATTTTTATTAATTATTTTAAGAAAACAACTAGATTCTGCAGAGGGCAATCTTACACCGAAAAAATATACTCAAAGAAAAGAAAATTCTATGCTATTTAGTATTAATTTCGCCCAAATAAGATAAATAAGTATTAAATTAATATTTTTGGAAGTCTAACATTGAAACTTAAGTTTGGATTTACTTGAATCTACTGAGTATAGAATTGAAACTCAGTTGAGTAACAACCGTATACTTTTAAAAGAATAAATTTAGAATATTTGTTGGTGTTTCTTTAATACTTTCGTAACTTTAAACTTGAAGCTTAAGTTTCGTATTAATTAAAATCCCCCAAATATAATATTGAGTCTCCGATGATTATACTTTCGAAAGAATTAAATTAAAACTCAGATAATTATTAACATAATAATTTTAAAAGTAAAAATTTAAAATAAAGTTAGTTATTAATTTGAAAATCCCGAAGGTGCTCAGGGAAGAAATGTCAAGGATTACTAGTGGTACTAGAGTGTTAGGCTCTAGTTTTTAAATTTGTTTACCACAAAATTGTTAATTATTGTCATATCCTAGTAAATTACCCGAGCACTGAAAATTATTGAAAAGATAAAACTAGTTCCCACAAAAATATCCAAGAAATTATCCCAAGTGATTGATGGCATTTTTGGATTACTAAATAAAAATGGCATTTACAGATAAAGATTTAAAGATTAAGATGTTACATGTAGCAATTTTATTGCGTTGTATCTTATGGATGGATGGTATCCATATAATTTGCCCAAACTGTTGGGGCGCCATCTCTTGAAAGCTTTTGGAACGCCAGGTGAAAGCTTTGGGGCCGTCAGTGTGCCCCACCAGCACAAAATACCGCAGCGCCAACCGATAACTGGGGCCCGCTCAAAAAAAATACCAAAACCCCCACCGATGACTGATGACTGGCGCCCCAAAAGCTCCTCCCGCCAGCTTTTGCCCATCGATCGCCGTGAGCTTATCGGACTCGCGATCTGATCCGAAAAGTGGAAACAAAGTGAAGATAAATTAATAAGCAATTAGCCAGTGTAAATAGACTGTTGTCAGCCGACTTGCCGACTAGCCGAAGCAGCTGAGCAGATACAGATTGTTCCGCTGCAGCACCGCCCCGCGTGGAACCAAAATAAACAGGCGGCGGTGGAGAAAGGGGGCAGGGTGAAAGGGGTTGGAAAGAGGGGCCGCAGGGGGAGCAGGGGGAGCGGACAACGAGGCAGAAACAAAAGCACAAAACGGCGGACAGAACCAGTCGAAACAAAACAACAAACCGGAGCGGACGCACTCGAAAAAGCGAATAAAATTTATTTCTGTGCTCATAGTGTGTGCATATGTGTGTGTGTGCGTGCCTTGTGTATATTTAAACAATATTTAAAAAAATCATACGCCAGACGAAAAACGTAAAAACGTATAAGCGAAGATCATCTCCCCGCCGCCACAGCGAAGCGGAGCAGACAGATAAATAAAAACAGAATCGGAGACAAAAACAACGCGACTGTGACGCGGCAAGGTGCTGGAGGTCACTCGGCCCATTTCGCATAGCAGCGCCACCCCCAACCCCCTTCCAGCCATTTCCAGTTCCAGTTCCAGACGCCCGCAAACAGCACGCGCGATCTGAAAAAAATTAAAAAAAATAGTAATAATAGAAAAAAAAACACACCAGCAAACTCACGCGCTTCATCGTTTTATTGCCCGCCCTCTCGACTGATAAACGTCCCGTTGATAAATACATATATCATCGCATCACACCAAAAACAAACACAGCAGCGCAGCAAACACCAATTATTCCAATAAAGCCAGCGCCAAGTGCGAATGCGCCCTCGATTTGTATGCCATCAGCAGCACTCGGTGGCCCATTCCCACTTCCATCCCCTGTCTCACTTCCAGACCCATTCCCATACCCATACCCACTTCCAGCGCCATCCCAATCCCCATCCCCATCCCCATCACTTTTACGACGCCACTGACGTCGGCTATCGGCGTTATCGCACCGCCAACATGGTGGTGGCCGAGGGAGTTATGGACTCCGGATCGGGGATCGGTACGGGAATGGGAATGGGGCACTTCAACGAGACCCCCTTATCCGAGCTGGGCGTGGAGACCCGCTCGCAGCTGTCCCGCATGCTGAACCGCAAGAAGGTGCTGCGCTCCGAGGAGGGCTACCAGCGGGACTGGCGGGGCATCTCGGAGCTGGCCAAGCAGAAGGGATTCGTGGACGAAAACGCCAACAATCCCATGGATCTGGTGCTGATCAGCTGGAGCCAGCGGAGCCCACAGACCGCCAAGGTGGGCCATCTCGAGAACTTCCTGGGCATCATCGATCGGTGGGATGTCTGTGACGATATCCAGGAGAATCTGGGTAGGTACTATATACTTAGTATAAATAATATATATATAACTTGTTCTAGATAGTTCTACGTAGTCCTTATCTATAATTGCAAATATCAATTTGAGTTCCATTAGTTTCAGGTTAAAGTTATCGCCCATAGATTATATTTTTATTAGCGCTGTGTCTGTGGGAATGACCAGATTAACTATCTTTAAAATATTGATTCTAAATCTTCTATTATTTAGAAAACTTTAGAGAAGTATATACAGTTTTCTAAGTAATAGATGATTTACAATCAATATTTTAAAGATCTTCTGTTATTTAGAAAACTTTAGAGACGTATGTACAATTTTCTAAGTAGTGGAAGAGTTACAATCAATATTTTAAAGATAACTGACTAAGAATTAGATATATTCTTAGATACATTAGAAATAGCTTTATGATCTTTAATACTATTTGTAACAGATCAACATAAAATAATATTTCAAATATTAATATAAGTTATCAAGTGCCAATGTACAGGATTACCCAGTTAGGAACTATCCTTCATTAATACATTAAAACTTGACGTATTAAGAAAACTGAAATTACTCATCTGAATTCTTTTTGAGTTACAAATAACGATTTTGATCTCCTTTTGGTTGATTCGGTTTTGGATTTATGATAGGAAAAGCCATTTTGTGTTTGCGCTTATAAGGATGTTGGCAACGATATCGGGTGTATGCGGAACGCGTATATATTCAACTTATCTGTGACGAATTTATCTAAATCAAACAATAGTTATCAATGAATACACAAATAAATTGACAACAATGGCTATCAATAAATACATAAACAAATTGAGTTATGATGAATACTAGATATGTAGCTACAAAAATAAAAGTCACCCACTTTTGAATGATTTATTTTTGTTCGCTTATTACTTTCAACAAAAGGTTTACTGGTAATACTTTTTGCTATCCACCTGACAAAACTAGTGTCATAAATGAAAACCTCCAGACAATCATTTGTTAGCTATAGTAAAATGTCCATCATTTAAGAATGAAGTCTGTTTAAGTATTTGCACAAAGGGGATTCACCTAACAAAAATGGTAGCCATCCATAAAAAGTCTCGGAGCAGACATTTTTGTTTGGGAATGTTTATTTGTATAGAAATATTTGTTTTGGTCGAACTTTTCTATGATCACATTGTATGGAAAAACAAATTAAATAGCTTAGAAGGTCAAAGCTGATGTACGAAAAACAAATTTATTGCAACACGAGACGAATTTTTAATACAAATTATGGTATTTCCTGTACTCCAAAAGCATTGCAATTCTGTCTAGTTAGGAATTCTCAATTGTCCAATAAAATTTAAACATAAAACATTGCAGTCATCTATTTATGTATTTACTGGTTGAATCTGGAATGTGTGATTTATAACTTATTTAGGTTTGACTCATATAAGGCAAATTATGTTTAAATATGAGACATATGTCAGATATAAAACCAGATTGTTTTTGTTGAATTCCAAAAAACATATTTTTGAATTCATAAATATATAAGAATTTTGTTTATCAATTTAGAAATTAATACAGTTCTAGAAATACGTATATTATTTAGAAGACTTATAGGAACTTAGAAGTTATAAAGCTTTTATTATTAGATATTAGTATTATTAGTAGATATCATTATTAATTTATAATACTCCACTACAGCCAAGGACACCCGCCGCTTTATTATAAAGCAGGAGCAGCGGCAGACCTCTCTGGTGGAGGCGTGTCCCCCGCCCCCCAGCGACTGTTTCGAGACCAACAACAACTACAGCAGCAACAACAACATCACAGTGGGCCAAAGTGTCCAGATCCTGAGCGACGAGGACCAGAGATGTGTGCAGATGGGCCAACCGCTGCCCAGATACAATGCCTGTGTTCTGTACGCCGAGGCAGACATCGACCATGCCACCGAGATCATGAATAACCTAGAGTCTGAGCGATACAATCTCAGGGTGAGTGAGATCTCTTGGGTGTTGTGTCTTCCAACGAATAACCGATGAACATTCCATGACAGCTTTTCCTGCGCCATCGCGACATGCTAATGGGCGTACCCTTCGAGCATGTCCAACTCTCCCACTTCATGGCCACCCGCTGTAATCACCTGATCGTCGTGCTCACCGAGGAGTTTCTTCGGAGTCCGGAGAACACGTACCTCGTGAACTTCACCCAGAAGATACAGATCGGTGAGTAGCTACTGCGCCGTTCGTAACTCAGGGTCGGCAGACCGAATAACAAGTTAACCGCTCTGCTCTTTCGTAGAGAACCACACTCGCAAGATCATACCGATTCTGTACAAGCCAGACATGCACATACCCCAGACCCTGGGCATCTATACGCACATCAAGTACGCCGGGGACTCCAAGCTGTTCAACTTCTGGGATAAGTTGGCTCGATCGCTGCACGATCTGGATGCCTGTTCCATCTACTCCACGCGCCAGGTGCAAACGTAAGTGTTGATTCTATATTAAACTGTTAGGGTAGATAAAAAAGGTTTACAAATGACTAACATGACAAGAAATTAATTAAAGTCAATTTCTAAAACCCAACAATGCTTTATTGTACTCACACAAATTTCTCAAATGTATACCAACTGCTAGTAAACAAAATATATAAGCAAATCGCACATACCATATGAGCGATCAGCCTTAGAACGAACTAGCCGGAATTTTTATTTAATTTCTTGTGTTAGAAAAATATACTTTTATGTTTTTAAGATAAATGCTCGGGAAGTAATACACTGCGTATGAGTAATATACTTCTAAAGGAGATACAAAACGAAAATATGCTTCATTATATAATAAAGCTGCTAGAAAGATAATATAATGACGAATTCTTAGGGTATTATCAGAACTAAACAATAAGACTCTTTCCGAAAAACCTTTGTATCATAAGTAATGCTAAAAATCTCTCCCCACAGACCCTCTCCAGTGGAGGAATCGACTCCCCAGCGGGTAACCACGCCCAGCATTCGGATACAGATCAACGACAAGGATGTGACCGACATGCCCAACTTCAAGGTGCCAGAGGCGGAGACCACCATCGTTTCGGTTTCCGGAGATACCGGTTCCCCCCTGCCGGAACACAAGCCGAAGAAAAAGGATCGCTTTCTGCGCAGAATCACGCACAGTTTCGCCAAGACGCCGAAGAATGAGGGAGGCAGTGCAAAGACCCTGCGGCACGCGCACTCCGTCAGCACCATAAACGTCACGGAACGGGAGAGGACACTCAGTGCCAGCAGCTCCAATATCTCCACCACGTCGGAGAGCAAGAAGAGCTTCATCAAGTGGCAGCCGAATATCCTGAAGAAGGCCCTATTCTCCCGATCCAGCAACAAGCTGCAGACGCCGGGTTGAGAGATCCTAGAGTTAGGATAGCCATTCATTCGATTCCTGGATTCCTTGTCGTGTGCCCAGTCTAGTTGCGGCCAGAAAGAGTCGCCAATGTCGTCACCCTCCACACTTAGTGATAGTCCTTAGCCTAATCCCTATCAAAGTCAACTAACTTAATATACTTAGACGCACTTGTTAACTTACAATACATAAGACAACAACGAATAAAGACAATACCACGTATACGCACAAATGTATCACAAAGCACGCATAGAGGACCAAAAACGATACGATATGCTCTATATGTATACTGTAGGCTGTAGATTTGATAAACAGACAAATTGGCAGTTGCGTTGAGTGAGGTTAAATGCGCGACACTGCTAATCGAAGTGCTCAATTAACTGTTAGTCACGCGTTCGATAAGTGACTTACTTAATTAAATTATCTCTGTTCTCGCAACTCAGAACTCAGACCCCATCTCGGATGAGTAATGAGTAATGACCATATATAAACTATATGTACGTATCATCACATTGTAAATTGCTCAAGCAGTTCTAACCGACTGCCAGCAATAGGTAAACTGTTTGTTTTGGGTACCGCCTTGGGCAGGTCTCCCATGTGATTAGCCTTACTGTTACCGATTGTTACTTGATTATATGCCCGATGTGCACTGAAAACACACACCTAATAAAAAGCAAAGCGAAGATTATCAATACAGTTTAGATACGTAATCACATAAAACAAAGGCATCGACTTTTTTTGATGTATTGACAGTCTTTGGCAGTGCGTTTCGAAATCATAAGGGGTCAACAACCATAGTAAAATAAATATTATTATTTAAAATACTAAAACAAGACCCGCTCAATGTCGGGCATCGATCGCTAGAACTTCGACCTTCGACGCCACGCGTCATTTATGGTTATGAAACGCACCGTGACCGTATCGGAAATGATCTCGCTCCAGTTGAGCGGCAATAAACTGTTCAATGTTTGGCTCAATAATTTATTGTTGGATGTAGACAACCTTTAGTTCGTTTATATGGTTAATAAACATTGCAGTTCGTGTGTGAATCCCCCGTATATTTACATACAGTTCTGCGCATACATACATATTGAGTGGAAATGTTTATCAAGATCAGTTCCGGTTAATCTACAAGACAGTTCGAATCGGTTTAAATTTTTGTATTTTTTTTGTTTTATTTATTTTCTGTTTTTTATTGTTTAAATCGTTTAATGTTTTAATAATAGCTCCTCGCTCACATTCCTCACTTCGCCTCTTCCTGCGTTTAATTTCGCTCTCTGTGTGTTACAATTTACACTGTGAACAAATTTGTTTTTCATTTTAGCCTTACTGCTTGAGCTTGTTCTTTAAACTTTGTTTTTTGTTTTTTGTTTTTCTGTTTTGGTTTTTGTTACTTTTTAATTGAATTTATGTTTTGTTGTTTGGTTGTTTCTCTGCTCAATGTTGTTGTTTTCATGTGAGTGTGTGTATTTATATATATCGATTTATATATGTTATTAATTTTAATCTGTCGTTTGTTATCCGCTTAGCTTGGTTTTCCTTTGTTAGAGTTATTTTAATGATTTCATTATCGTTAACAAAATTAATAAAAACAGTTTGTAATTTGTTTGCTCTTTGCTGTATGTATATGTTAATTGATCAATTTATTCGTAATTCGCAATATTAAAACAATGTAACGCATGATGTTGCATCTTCTGCCTCGACTCGCGCTCTATGAGTATTATTTGCAAATTGTTTCGTAGCTTAATTAATGCCTCTCTTTTGGGGATGTCTTACATTCGTTTCGACTTGTTATTCATCTTATAAATCTAACTGATTGCATTTACACAGAGTGTGTTCGACGACGAGTCTGAGTGGAGGGGCAGGGCAGATCGGGGCATGGGCCTCGAAGTGGAACTGGAATCTGGTAACTGGTAACTGGTAACTGGCAACTTGGACTCAATTCGGGGGCTCGGGATCGGGATCGGGATCGGGATCGGTATCGAACAGAACCTAACTAACTCAACCGGAACCAAGGGTCGTGTAAGTGTCTGTTTGTTCTTTTAAAGCGTTATCTTCTATATTTAAGTGTTAACAATGATTATGATTATGGAAGTCAGCTGAAGAAGTCTGTATCGGTTTGGAAGTTGAGTTATCATCGTATTGCGAGTTCCCGTCTTATAACTATGTTATGCTGCTTGAGTACGCATAGGTATTTCCGAATCACCTTCCTCAATATCTATAACTCGACTCCCCTCCCTCGTACTCCGTCCTTTAATCATACATACATACACATGGAGATATATTCATCGTCGTGTTTTGGGTCACTTGCCGCTTTCGACTTACTAATAAATTAAAACAACGCTAATGAATCTGTTTTTCGCCTCGCTAATTGTGAATTCTCGTTTAACGTTCTTCTTCATCGCTTTGCTCCTCCTCTTTTCTAACTTTTCGTTTATTATCGTTATCAATCAATTATCAATTTCAATTTTCATTTATACATACTAGGTTTTCATTTAATTTTCTCGCATCAATGCTTTAGATTTGTGCCTTGGACAAACGTCTGTTAAAAATCGCTTTCTTTTTTTTCGCTTTTTATTTCCGTATTACATTAAAGTTAGTTTTTGGTTTAGAGCGCAATACAGTATTGGTTGAGCTCAGCATTGTTTAAGTTATTTAACCATTTTGCCTACTACTCAAGGTGTCTGAGGATCTGATGGAGCAGCAGAAGTTTCGAAATCAAATGACCATAGATCTTATCCAGGACAGAATGACGAGCCACGTAGACCAGCTACGACTGCTCTTAACTTTCTAAAGGGACACTACAGATAATGTAGGAATAAAATTCAGAAAAATGTCTACTTAAAACATAGAAAAAAAATCTTGAATGAAGAACAAGACTATCTAAAGCTAGGAATTTTAAATTCAAGTTTGAAATATCACTTTGGAAACTCTTTTTAAACGTTCTTGTATGATAAAATATTACAGAACTTAGAGTTAAGAATTTAAAATTTATTTTTGAAACATCACTTTGAAAACTCTTTATAAACTATCCTACCAGATGAAATATTGCACAATTTAAGGTTTTCTAACACTGCCAAAATGTAATTAGTATGGATAACTTTAAATGATAACTTAAAAACTTTTTTTAACAGCTTTAAAAATGTTTAAGTAAGTAGTCATATTTTTCTAAGCTTTGAAACTCGTTGTTCTTGACATCGAAAACATATTCTTTACTTCAGAAGACCAATCTTTTGAACGTCCTGTGTCCCAGAATCCTTAAAACTACTGCTCTATCATTTTACCCCGATTGCTTGATACCCGTATGGAACAGTCACAGTTCCGGAAGTTGAAAGTCTAAGCCAACGGATGCAGATGCAGATGCGAATGCTAATGGCGATGTTGGCAGTGTTTTCGCTTTACGCATTTGTTCAATTACAATTTCGATTGCGATCGTGTGATGTCTTCTGATAGATACTCCCAATGGATCTACGGCTGATTTTGGAGGCCATGCGGGGGCGGTCTATATCTACTACACACATATTTTAGTCTGTTCGTCGGGCATTTTGCGAGCATCGAGCATCGAGCCTCGAGCATCTTGCTTATTGTTTCTATTCTCTGTGTTTAATTTTAACATTGTGCGCGATTTTGTTGAACGTTTGACAACACTACAAATAACGGCAGTTTTACATGCTGATGCGGATGATTTGTGGAGTGTATCTTTTTTTTCGGGGGATAAATGCAACAACATTAACAAATAATAGGCTTCAAACAGAGAGTTGCGCTATCCAGGAACTATACAAATGCTGGGGGTGGGTCGAAAAGCAAACTGAGGAACTCACTACATCATAGGAAACGAGAGACCGACTGAACCTATCAGTTAGAACCCGTCATCTTTTCTTTTCTGGCAACAACAATTTATAGTCTCTGTTATCTATATCTCTTTCACAACTTATAGTCTTTGGGTTTTAGATTAGATTTCCTGACTCGAGTGGCAGTCTGTGTGTGGGGCTATCCAACTAAATAAGGCTATTTTGGCACACAATCACAACGGAACACGAAACATCTATTGTACAACAACGATAACAACACAGGGATGGGTGTTCGGGCGGGGATTACAAATGATCTATGTGTTGAATTTCGGGGAGTTTGAATTCGAAATGGTATATTCGTTGAGCAGCTGACTATAAATGGTGAACGAGCTGTAGGGGCTAAATGCTTGGTTTTCGAAATGGTTGCTACTATGCTACAAGCCTGCCGCTTCACCGTTTACAACCAGCTCGCTCCTTCCTTTAATGTCGGTCCCCGTCTATGAGAATTATGGCCTAAATGCTACAAAAACTGCGTTAACATGGTTCGCGCTTGTTGCTGTTGTTGTGGGCGTGGGTGTACGTGTGTGTTTCTGGGTGTGTGGCTGCTTTGCTTACGCCTTTTTTTATAATTCACGTTTATGCTTACTTCACTATTGTACAATGTGCGACTTGCATTATTATATTCTCGTAATTATTTTATATAAGTATATATGTATATATGTATGCATGTTGGTGTGTGTGTGAGTGTGTTCGTGTGTGTGTTGAGCTGCTGGGCTACTCCTATTTTTGGTTTTTTCAATTTTTTTCGTTTTTTGTTTCTGTAAAATGCGCTAGTTTATTGATACCTTCCGTGGCGCCCAACGTGGGACATTCGTGAACCTGTGGGTTTGCCCGTCCGCCCATCATTGGCACTCTAAATTCTGTCCTCCTCATCCTCCTCCTCCTCCTCCTCGACCTCCTCGCCGTTCTCCTCCAGCTCCTCCTTGTAGCCGGGATGCTCGGAGATGGCATAGTAGTTGCCATTGTAAATGACGCCCAGTTCGCGCAGCGCATCGCCGCGTATTGTCGCCTTTATCGTCCAGTTGTAGCAATCGTCCGACTCGGACTCGCGATCCAATCGCTCCACGTCGAGGATCTTGGAGTTGAGGCGTTCCAGTATGATGCCGATGTCCTTGATGCTGAGGTGGCGCTTCTGGTCCACCGACAGCTGGTCGATCAGCAGCAGAAACTTCTCCGTCGTCGTCTTGTCGTCCTCCATCACCGTGTTCTCCGTCTCGCTCTCGGAGCTATCCCGCTCCGGGGCGATGTCCAGGAATCGCACATGTCCCTTGGCGCCCGACGAACGGCGCTGCATGCTGCCGCTTCCGCCGCCGCTGCTGCCACTGCCGCCGAGCATAGGATCCATAACCGATGGTGCCGACTGCGGCTGGGGACTGCTGCTACCGTCCTGGATGGGCGACGTGGCCACGCTCTTGTGCACGGCGATCTTGCGCCCCTCCTCGTGCAGGGCACAGCAGTGGAAGTCGCACTCCGTGGTGCTGGGACTGCCCGCCCTGCTGGGCGTGTGGGCGTGGTGGGCGCATTCCGGCGTATGCACATGGACCGCTCCAACGCCCACGCCCACGGTGCTGTCGAAGGAGCTGCCCTGCTTGGAGAGCCGCCTGCTGCCGCCGGGTATCACAACTCCTGGCGGCAGGACAACGCCACCGGGATGGTATATGCTCGCCGGTCCGTCGTCGCTGATCACCGTTATTTGGGGGCTGGCATAGCGCGGCTGGGAGGACTGCGATGACACCGACTTGTTGTCCAGCGAACTCTGCGCGGAGAGGCCCTTCTTCGAGGGCGAATACTTGTCGGAGGACAGCAGGCCATTGCTGCTGCCCAGGCCGGAGCACATGCTCCCCACTCCGCCGCCGGCGCCACCACTCCCACCACCGCCGCTTCCTCCGCCCTGCCGCTGATCCCAGTGCAGGACGACCGTGACACGCCCTTTGTTATCCATGATCTTCCACGACGGTGTCTCATCATGCAACTCCAGCGCATGGATCGTCTCACAGACGATTTTCGGAATAGCTGATATGGCTGTGGGAGAGAATAATGGGATCAGTTCTGGTTGGCTGGTAGGGAATGGTTAACTAGAGATAAGTACTGAACTAATTTAAATCTTACATCTTTTAAATTTCCTAGTCGAATTGCTATAAGTACGTGTTCTTTTATTGCTGGTAGTCTATAGAAAAAAAGTTCGGATTGGGATGCTTTTACGACAAATATACCTTTAGAACCTAACATACATATGTCTTTAAATAATACGACTATACGAGGAGTCAATTGTTTTTCTAAAACATTTGTTTAATTCTTTGTTTTTACCTACAACATTTTTTGTTTGCAATTAAATGTTAGCAATGAAAACTTTAATAGCTTTCTGAAGGGAATCGCATTAAAAGAATACTGCAATTTATTGTTTTTCCGATCTAATTTTGGAACAAGCAAAAATGTGTTTTAAAACAAGGGTACAAATTCAAGATCATTGTTTAAATTTTCGTTGCTTTAAATTGAACAAAATCAACAAACTGTGCAGACTTAAAATTAATTTATAAACCATTGGCACTGAAATAATGTGTTTAAACAAACTATAGACTTGCTTTTTTTAAGTGCGAAACTAATTGATTACCATTTTGCTAGAGCATATTTCTTGGATTTAGTCATTTCCTCAAGCAAATCTTGATACAAATGTTGACTTTAGTAGACCGTGTTTAAGAAATGAAATTAAGTAATTTCCAAAAATAACTGACAGGAAAACACTGAAAAAAGATATATTTGTTTAAATGTCGCAAAATGAAATACTATTTTTTGGCAAAAGTAGCAATAAGATCAAAATGATTGTTTAAAATGCAGTTACTAAATTTTTGATCAAATATTATTCCATATAAAATTGTACAAAAATCTTTTTAAGAGCGCAACTCATAGTTTACTATTTGCCTAGTAATAAAAAAAGTGTAATTTATCTGAGGATGAATAAAACAAGCAAGTTGCTCAAATGGTATCTATTACGCATATAAAATTCCAGCTAGTTGATAGACATTTCCCTTTAGCAGTACTGTATAAATTGGATATGCCAATGTGATACATAGCTTATATTTGGTTCCCAGCTAGTTCATAGACACTTCCCGCGAACAGTACTGATCTCTAGCTTTAGATAGCATATAGTTAGACCCACCAGCCTTTATGACATCGACGCCAGTGGGATACCAGCGCTCGCCCTGCCTCAACAGCAGCAGCACCGTATTGTTGGCCAGGGTGCGAAAGTATTCGCCATCCTCGATTTGGGTTCCATCACACTCCAGAACAACGCGCACCGGTTCTGAAGCAGGAACCCCCAGCTTATCCTTGCCGCGGACCAAGAGCTCCTCGAAGGTCCCAACTACGACGCCCTTGCGCACATTCCGCCAGCTGTCCCAGATTTTCAGTGGTCTCTTGCCGCGAGACTCCTGCGAAGAGAAATTTGGATTAGTTGGGCTTTACGAATTACTATTCTATGCGCTGGCGAGGGGAAAGTGAAAGGCTAAAGGGGTGGTGGCATGATGGGATAGGGGGATGGGCGGATGTGGGATGTGCGATGCAGGATGGGCGTGACACCTGTGAAACGCTGCGCACGAAAAACTGACAAGTGGGTGTGGCAGCAGGCCCGGGCTGTGTCATAATTTCCTCAGCCCGCTAATTGGGCTTCTCGGGCTTGTTTAAAAAGGGCGCAAATGTCAAGGCCACAACGGGCTACAACTCAGATTAAATATAGAAAATATTCAAAAGAGATATTGAAATAGGTAGCAATCCCTATATAAGAAGAAAAAAGAAACAAGCTTATGTTTAAGACCAAAAGATATATTTTTTAAAGGCCCAAAGAAAAGTGAAAACGAATCCTTTTGGCTAACAGCGCGCACAGCTGTTGGCTAACAGTTGCAGGCAACAAAAGCAACAACGGCCAGCCGAGCAGGACGAAAGCTGCAATGTTTAATGTATTGCAAGGACATGAGTGTGGCGCTCCAGTGACCCAGTAACGAGTGCAGCACACGAGCCAAATACAAATATCTCTCTTCGGCCAACCATTCCCCTGCATCCTCAATCCCCCCCACACACCACCCACTCACCCCAAAATAAAATGTTTGAAAAATTACAAAAAATTCATGTTGACATTTTGCTTATTCCTCCACACCGAAAACAAGCAGAAAACTTTTCATAAAAATATTTCATTTCTTTCGCTCTGTGTTTGGGTAGCTCCCCTCGCCTCGTTCTGATTTTTTTCCTTTGGGATAGGTCAGTTGCTGCGCCCCAACGCCATATGGCAATGTGGGGTGGAAGAGGGGCTAGGGGGAGGTATTGGTTGGCTATTATAAATTCTGAAATTAATAAATGTACAAAGGTGCAAAAAGCACGGGTGCTGAAATACTTTTATAAATTAAATTTCATTATTTTGTGCTTTAGGCAGTTGTGGGAGATCTATTTTTTCTTTTAACAACCGATTTTTAAATCAACCAGCTTTAAACTAACTTTAATATAACCACATATAGTCTTAACAAGCCAAATAAAACCATATAAAAAAATCTATATATATTAAAAAAAAAATATGTAGAAGTAAAAAAAAAATTTTTTTTTTTTGGATTGGTATGGAAGATTGTGAGATTGAAATACTTTTATAGGATACTGGCAAGGGAAATATGTTTATTATAACTAGAAGTCTTAACCTAAATCTTAACCCAAGGTTTAAGTTAAGAAGTCCTTAAAATATTAGCATTTTTTCGTAAAACAGCGAAGGGATGCGAACCTGGGACCTAGTCAACCTACAGCTAAATGAATGCTGATTGAAGGAGGTAGAATGATGATACCTATGCCTCTATAAGGCAGAACAATTACCATTCCGGACAGTCCGCCGTTTGTGCCCGACGAGGGACCCGTTGTGATGGCCCCACCACCCACTCCGCCCCCACCCGCTGCCGCGGCAGAGGCAGCAACGCCCTGCGTGGCCTGGGCCGCCGCCGCAGCTGCGGCTGCCACTTGTCTGATGCTCAGACAGTTGCAGAGCGGCTTCGTCACGCCCAGCGTGCACAGGGCGTTGGACCACATGGTGGTGCTGGTGGTGCTGTTGGTGGTGCTGCTGCCAGCCACTTTTAGGCCGAATCTGCACTACTGCCTTGCAATTGTGGGCCGTGCCTCTGTGCCTTTGTGCTCCCAAGGTCGTCTTACACTTGGAGCTCCAAGCTCCAGTAATCCATGTCCGTTTCTAAAATCCGTTATATAAACCCGCGCTGTGCGCTGCGTAAAAAACAGTTTTCGAATACTTCTTTTCTTTTACCAAAAGTTTTACAAAATATTAAAGCTTATTGCTTATTGTTTGAGTGTTAAATGCCTTGCGTTTTAGGGGGGAAAATTCGTTATTACAAAAATTGTTAAGGGGGCTCACGAAAAAAATACCGCACTTTGGCACAAAATGTTGTTTCTGGTAAAAAGGGTTCCTCCTCGTTCACTTAATTTTTCGTATATTAAGTTTGTTGTAAAAACTTGCTGAGCAGATGTGCCTCGAATTTCGCTTTTCACTGCTCGTATTTCGTATTTCGCATTCGTATTCGTATTTTTGGGGCAGGTCAGGGCGGGTTGACCTTCGCACTTTCACTTTACGGATACTACGCGCCTGCAGCGCCCGTTTTGCCCGTGAAACCGCCGAGTTTTCGTTTTCATTTAACGCTGCTGCTGCCTTAGTTTTGTGGACTTAATTATTTTTATTTTTTAGAAAGTTATTTGTTGTAGAAAAAGGCTGGATTTTAGTTTAGTCCACACCCAGTTAAAAAGCGTGGTGTTTCCACTACTGGCAGCAGCCTTTTCCTTCGCTGCCTGTGTGCCTGGCAGCCTGGCAGAGCAAACTGTGAGTTTTTCCCGATGCGATGAGATGCTGCATCGGAATCCACTACGACTTTTGGGGCTGGGTGCGTTTTTGCAGCGCTTTAACAGCGTTTCGAAATGAGAACGAGGCATAAGCGCGAGAGAAGTGCAGTGAGAACGAGGTGAAATGCAGCGCGAAGCTTTGCGGGTGCGACAGAGATGCATAGATAGAGTGGGGAAAAGTACCGTTACTATTATCTAGTTCATTTAAGAGGCCCCCCACACATCCTTAAACATTAAGCTTCCTAACTATTTTTTAGTTTCACTTTTTATATCCCTCTACCTCTATTTAAATCCTTTTGCAATTCAAATTTCTCTGTTTTAACAGTTAACAATGTTTGACCGTGCTTTGGCCTACATTTGCATCAATGTGATATAATCAGGACGCCAAGGCGCGCGCACCTACTCCCGCGAATCGCTCCACAAGTATTCCTCGGGATCCCAAGCGTTTGATTTTGTCAATATTTACAACCAATCAATGCCGATCAATTAACAGTTACTTTTGACTGTTTGTCCTAGGAAAATAGAGAGCTTTTAAGGGGTCATAGCACGCTTAACATTTAAACTGTAACATTAAACATTTAGGTCTTTTAATAAAAATAATAAGAGAGAGAGAGAGATGCAATTTTATATGAAGCTCTCTCCCTCTCTCTCTCTGTCTCTCGAAAAGCATTGCCAGCTGTAGATGTTAAAGGATAACAGAGCTCTAGAATAACTGTAACTGCTGTTGGCCGAGATTTTTAATTGCAGTAAGAAGAAGCAGGGACTTTCTCGTTTTGTTTATGCTAAATAATGCCAGATCAACTGCCAACTAAAGCAATCTCGGTTGCATTTTTATCAGCTTTTAAGGGAATTCCTAAGCTTGGGGAATTTGCAACTAATTTTGGGTTTTTTTTGGAGACAAGCTCTCAAAGCAACAATTTTGGAAAAGCCAGAGAGAAAAATTCCTTTTAGAGGGGGCGGAAGAAGAGGAAGATGAACAACAACAGTTGCAGCTGCACGTGGAATGGTGGGTGGGGAGGGGGGGTCATGGTGAGGAAAGAGGGCGTTGGGGGAGTGGCACATCTGTGAGGCGTAAGTATTACCTCAGTTATTTGGGTCAAAGCTATTCACTCACCCGCAAAGCAAAACGAAACGAAGGAACTGCATAAAACATGCACAAACACACACACATGCAGAACAGGAGCTTGGGGGACACGCACACAAAGAGACTAATGCGGGCCACAGGCTTAATAGGTTCCTCTAGCGGATGCGGACGCGAATGCGGAGTATCCGCAGCGATACGCCTTGCTAGATACACTCGTAAAGGTTGTCATATGAAAAATTCAGATAGATACAGCAGAGCCTCCTGTAGTCTAAACCAGGCATAGCTGCATAGTTAATTAAAGATACAGTGAGCGCTCCGCGAGGTGAATACTTTGTTAACTTTAAAAAAAATTCCATTAAATCTTTATTAATAAGTAAAAAAATCAACTTTTCTGTTAAAGTCTTCTAACATGAAAATATCTTAAACATATCTGCGGACGACACAGAAATGAAAGTAGGAACTGCACCCGAATTTATACCAATGAAATTTATATGTCACATTTGATTTTAACAGAAATAAGTCTTAGAAATATTTTTAAACCAATTTTCTTTGAAATTCGTTTGTGCACCAATTAAAATTCTTACCGTCTTGGCTTGGAAGAAGTATCTGTGACACCTCCGATTAAAAAAACTTTCGGGTTGTCACAGAAATCTCTTCCAATCAAATTCAATTAAAATTCTTACGTACATTAATACGACTTCCAACCGTGTTTGGAATTTTCTTTAAAACTTATTGGCGCACAAAACTGAATTCGTTCGAAATTTGTATTGATGTAGGTAAGACCCTGAAAATTAGGGTACCATTTGATCTTTTGGCTTTTCATAAATGTCTTTGGTTGGAGTTCATACGTACATACATCAACAATAATTTGAAACCATATGATTTCTCAGTTTTTTCAGAAATGTTCTAGACCAACTAGATCTCAGCTTAATCGGTTAACATTTAGAACTGTTAACCGTTGTGATGTTGAGTAAGGCCCATAACGGATGTTAAAAAAAATGAATGATGGTTATGAAGTGAGAACAGCTGATTTTTGCAGGTGAACTTTCGATATGCTTCCGATCGGGAAAATCGAAACGGTTATTGAGCCTTAGTTGCCGGCTTTGCTTTTAGCACGTTTGCACTTACCTCTCTGGCCATTACGACATGTTATCACCAGCGGCGCCCGCTTAGAGGGTCTGCCATTTGCTCAGCGGCAACAACCACAACAACAACACCAGAAGCTCCTCGGAATGAGAGAGGGAGTGGGAGAAGCAACAACAAAGCTTACGCTTTTCGCGATACGAGAGCGTACGTACGTAGGGATGTATGTGTATGTGTGTAGGCGGCAAACGGGATAAGCAGAGAGACAGAGAGAGAAAGAGTGTGGGAGGTGGTGGTGTGCGTGTGAGTGCTTCAAAAATTCTCTACTACACGTTTATTTTCAATCTTCTCTTCCCGCACATTTCTCCAACGCGCCGATGCTGCTTCGTTCTTCTTCTTGCCCTTCTATCCTGTCCTGTCCTTTCGTTTAGTTTCCCTTCCTCTCCTCCTCCAGCGTGGGTACGAGTGTGCGTGTGTGTGTGTGTATAGGTGTGTATCGGAATTCGCTTGGGTATTAGATTAAGCCAGGTTGGATTTGTTTAAACAATTAGCATACATCTCTATTTGGCAATTCGTTACAGTAACTTGTCTCTACCTACGCCCACTTTTATAGGTGCGGCTGTTGGTCAGGACTCGCTATTTGGCAGTGGTAGTGGTGTGCGGTGTGTGTCTGTGTGCGTGCGAGAGAGCGCATTGGAGTACCGTTATCGCTGGCGGAGCCACATTTTCCTATTTGACATACACTTTTTTGTTGCGATTTTCGCCAATTTTTGCGGCACACGCGTTTCGTTGTTTTTCTTTTTGTTTCTTTTTTTAAAATATATTTTAACTTTCTTATCCTTGAAAGCTTTCTGTTAACCGTTTTTCTTCTTATCGCTTGGTGTGTATCGTACACACGCCTTTTGCTTCACATACGCTCTAGTTTTTGGCAGTTGTTGGATTGTTTCAGCTTAGTCCGTTTGACAGTGGAATTTGTTGATTTGGCGATTAATTAGTTTATTTTATGCAAAAACAATAACATTTAATTCATTTTGGGCCGAGAACAAATCTCCTTTCACTTAACCGGATCCTTGGCAAACTCAACCACCCGATATCGATTGACTTAACAAATTCAACCACCTGATATCGATTGACTTCACAACTTGAAACACATGATATGCAATGACTAGTTATAGCAATTAGCTATTATTTTATCTAAAAACAAATGCAATGCAAATTAATTTTTATTTTTAACAGCACTCAAAGTAATAATCGTTATCGATATGAACAGCTTTCACTTGTGGTATTTTTGTGGCATACTTTTGGGTGGTGGAGAAAATGCATACTGGAAAATACTAAAGTGGGCTGCCAACTTAATTGGCTGATAAGATGTCAAGATTTTATTTTCAAACTTTAAAATGGTAATTATGTAAATAACAATTGTAAAATATTGAGTTTATTTTGGATACGTATCTGAGGACTATATACCTCTTAATATATAATAATAGCAAACAGTATGACCATTTTGGTTGTTGCATCCCTGGAAGCATTTTCTATCGAAGAAAACTTTATTTATCGAAAATATCGCATTCCGATCGCATAAGTTGGAAAAATATAGTTTTTCGGAAGATTGTTTTAATTCTGCACGGTTTTTGATCTTATAAAATGTTTTCTATCGTGTTATTATGTTCCAGAAGTCACTAAAAAGTGACTTTGCGATAGGCGATAGTTTTCTCGTCCAATTGTCTGCAGGGATTCTAGTGAAAAACAGCGGCAGTCCACCACTGTGTATAATTTCTGACAGCTAAACAACTAAAAAAAAGAAGTGGCTTAAAACTTTAGACGCTCAACCGACGAAAACTCCATACCGGACCTAAAATGGACGACATAAGGAGCAGCATGGATAACATGATGGCCCGCTTCAACGACGACATCACCCACTCGGCGCCCAAGAAGCTGCTCTTCAACCGGCTTTCCGCCTCCTTCAGCGATAATTTAGTGCCCAGTAAGTGTTTTTCATGTTTAATAACAACTATAGAACATTTACCTTATAAAAACCCATACCAACAGCTCCCAAGAAGCGCCGCCTGGGCCAGGAATCGCCGAATCGCAGCCTGAACGACAGTTCCGCCTCCCTGAACAGTTCCTCCAACGATCCCTTCGGCTCCTGGCAGAGCAGCAAACTGCGCACCGATTTGATCGAAACCAAGGCCATAGTCATCCAACTGCGCAATGAGATCGAGCAGAAGACCCGGGAGCACCGCCAGGCCATGATGCTGGCGGAGAACAAGAGCTCCGCCCTGAAGCAGCAGTGCGATACCACCTGCAAGAAGTACTTGGACCTCCAGAGGGACTTCGAGATGATGCAAAAACGGGAGCTGGCCCTCAAGGATGAGGCCAGTCGAGCCACCACGGAGTTGGCCCAACTGGAGCTCAAGTACGACGAGGCCATGAACAAGCTGCAGAGGGAGAAGCACCTGCAGGTGGAGGATGCCCGCGATGTCCAGCTGTGCATCAGCAATGAGCTGAGCGAGTATCGCCGGATGGCCCAGCGGGCCGATCTCGAGCTGCAGTCCACGCGCAACGATCTGGAGCGCTTGCGCAGGCGCCACGAGGAGCTTAAGGCCAGGTTTTCCGGCTACGACGAGATGCGCAGCGACTATGAGAAGCAGACGCAGAACCTGAAGGTGGCCAACGATCGCATCCGGGAGCTGGAGTTCGAGATCCAATCGTACAGCGACTGGAAGGAGGTGACCAAGGCCTCGCAGGAGCGCCTGGCCAGCATTCCGGATCTGATGGCTGAGGTGGAGCGCCTGCGTGGCCACAACAAGCATTTGAACACTCTGATTGGCGATAAGTTGCTGCTGGAGGAGCAGGTGCACGACTACAAGACGCGACTGGACCGCGAGGAGGGTGCTCGCGCGGAGGCGGCTTCCCTGCAGGTGAAGCTGACGCATGTGGAGCAGGAACTCAAGGAGTGGGTCAAGGTGGCCCAGGATCACTGCCTGGCCAACACCCTGGTCAGCCCCATGGCCCTGCGCTCGCGCATTGAGCAACTGCTGAAGGAGGACATCATCAACGTGGCGGAAAAGACCTCTTCCGCCTCGGACTCCAAGCATTTGCTGGTAGGTTTCGTCTTCCTTTATCCAAATCCTTATCTAATTGATATTCCCAGACTTCAGTGCGTGACCTGGAGCAGAAATGCGCCATCTACCTGAAGAACATCGAGGATCTAAATATCGGACTGAAGCGCCACAAGAACTTCAAGGAGCGACTGCAGCGTAAGCTGATCACCGTGTCTAAGGAGCGCGACTTCTACAAGCAACTGGTAGAGAACTTCGACAAGGACATGACCATGAGCAATGCCAGTGTGGCGGACATGACGCAGGACATGCAGGTGCGCTACCGTGTGGAGGTTCTGGAGCGGACCGTGACCGGCTACAAGGACATGTGTGCCACGTTGGAGCGCGAGATTCAGGCAATGCGCCAGCAGGAGCAGCTGGCCGAACCCGCTGGCGAGGGCTACGATACCGTCAAAAAGGAACTGGATACGCTGCGACTGGAGAATGACCGCTTGCGCCGTCGCAAGGAGGAACTGGAACTGGAGATGATGCACCGCTGCCTGCGCGGCGACTTCAACATGAAGGACTTCAAGGTGGTGCATCTCAGCGAGAATCCCGCTGCCGAGGCCTACGAGTCCAGCAAGAACATGATGGAGAAGCTGCAGGCGGAGATTGAGCGCCTGAAGCGGCGCAACAAGAAGCTGGAGGACGATGAGACGCAGCGTCTGAATGAGACAACCAGCACGGGCGGCATGACCCTGAACTTCAAGGAGTTTAACCAGCTGCGTGCGGACTTAGAATCGGCCAATGGCAAGATGCGCAAAATGAAGGATTGCTTTAAGGCGGCTCGTGAGGAGTTCCGCGATGTGTGCTACATGCTACTGGGCTACAGGATCGATCGCATTGGCGCCAATAGCAACTACCGGTGGGTGTCCTATCCACTTCGCCCCATTTAAATTTCTTATCAATACATCTTCTCTTTGCAGCATTTCCAGCATGTTTGCCGAGGGTCCGGACGACTATCTGGACATCAGCCTCAACGAATCCAATTGTTTGGCCCTGCTGGAGTCGCCCTATTCACATACTTTCAATCCGCCCATTGATCAGCAACTGGCCGCCACTAACTTCCCCGCATTCTTCTCCACCCTCACCCTGGAACTTTTTCAAAGGTCCACTGTGACCTAGAGAAACACTATTTTAATTGTAGCTTTAGTTAGCCGAGTGTGGAGGCAACACATTTTATTCTTGTCAGCATCAGATATACGAATGATTTTAATTATAAACTAATAGCTGCCCCACAGACTGTATTCGAGTGCGAAAATAATAATATTCTTCTACACCTTTTGTACTACAAATTGCAAGCAAAGTACAGAGATTTATTAATGGATAGCTATAAATTATAGTAATGCACAATATAAGTTGGAATAATACCCTCTCCACTAAGTGGAGGTCAGGATGTGGGCCACCTGATCAGGCGTCCTGTGTAGCAACTGCTCCGGCTGCTCGAAGCCGTTGGCCGGATCATGGACTCGATCGTAGATCTGCTTGTAGATGGCCACAATCACGTTGAAGGAGCGCTTCTGAACTGCGGCCCGATGGCTGCTGGACATGATGAGCTGGACCTGCGGCAGGAGCAACACATCGGGGAGTTCCAAAAAGGCGTCCATCTTGGACATGAAGATCTTCAGCAGGTTCGTCTCTATTTTCGACTGATTGCTCTGCAGGATGGCGTAGATGGGACCCAGATTAAGGTTGGCCACCAGAGACGAAGCCTGCTCGGAGGTTAGTGTGTCCAGTTGGGCATCCGACTGTGCTTGCAGTCGCTCCACGCGCTCATCCATATATTCGTAGACAGCCAGCGAACTCTGCATGTGATGCAGACAGTTTAGAAGGTACACGCCCATGTCCACGGTGGGCAGATGGGCGGCGCTTTCCTGTACGGACTGCAGCAGCGGATCTATCACACAGCTCACGATCTTGGTGATGTCCGCCTGTCGGCCATCGACCATGGTGGCCACCGAAAGGATCTCCTTAAGCATATTTAGCAAGCGGGCTACGCTTGGCGGCGGTATGAGGTCCCTTTGTGGGGGTTCAAGGGCCAGACCCGATCCTCCAGACGGTCGCTGCAAAACGCTTCTCACCTGGGAGGCCAAGGCACCCAGGTAAATCTGCTCGCTGCTCTTCTGAAGCTCCACCAGCAACTCCTCCAGACTGCCGCCCTGAACCACCTGGCGCATTATTTGCTGGTAGAAACGCAGCAGATTGGAAATGGTGAACAGCACGATGGTGTCCTTCTCCGCCTGCAGTATCGTCTCCACTCGCACCTTGAGTGGATGGCACACGCCATCGGCTATGTAACCCAAGGCGTTTTGTAGCTGGTCGGAAATATCTGTGTGGGAAGAGGTCTTGTTAAGTAAGGGAGTAAGCCAAGGAACTGTTTCTTAACTAACCCTGCTTATCGCACTTTTTGAACAGCAACGACAGGTTCTCCTTTTCCGTGGGAATGCTTTGATGCAGCCATGCAAACATATCGCCAATGTAACGCTTGGGATCGTGGGCATGCAGCTCAATGGGTTTGGGGTTGCCACCGGGACCACCTTCGGTCAAGGCCTCGATGAACTGGCGCACTAAAACAGCCCTTCTCGCAATGGCATACTCATCAATAACGTATCTTTAAGAGGAATTCTTGAATTATTGGTAAGGGAAAAGCCATAAAATAACCCACTTGAAGAGCACGGGACGATCTTGCAGCCGGCTCATGGCTTCCACAATCAGCGGACCTATCTCGTTGTTCTCCAAACTGCGACAGTGGTTCTGCGTCCAGCGGTAGAGCCGCTCCAGAGCGCCTTCCTGATGCAAAGTCATCTCCTCCATGATGTCCAGGGCAGCTGTTTGGTAGCCACACTGCATCAGCAGCCGGCAGTCAGCGTGGATGCTCTGAACCCGGTCCAGAACTCGGAAAAAGTCCGCCACAATGGGTGCATCCTTGGCGGCACCGTAGAGCAACTGGTGCTCCGCTCCGCTTAACTGAAAGCGGGCCAGGAAAGCCTGGGCAATCTGTTGGTGGACCTCCAAGCGATCTCTTTCCCGCTGCATGGTATTTGTCTGCTCGATCAGATCTTTGGTAAGCGCCTTCGAGGTCTCCAGATCCGATTTCATGGTCTCTACTGACGTGGCCATCGTGTCCAAATCTTCGCAGACGGCGTCCAGGGAGAGCTTCACCTCGCGGAAGGCCTTCAGGAAGTTCTCGTTGATGCCCACGGAGCGGTGTTCGATCTGGCTGCGCAGGTTCCTGCGGTTCTGCAGGGTGTTCTCCGTGAAAAAGGTGGACAGGCCACTCAGGGCGTCCAAGGTGTCCTACGAAGGTAAGAGGTTTATTGATCAGTTGATTGACTTGGCAGCTTTGGGGGACTCACCTTATCTGACTCCAGGCGCGCCTCCAGGATCTTGTTGACCCTTTTCTGGATCCTGTCCAACTCCTCCGGTTTTTCCTTCGTCGAGATCATCTTAAATACCAAAATATTGAAAAATATAAACTACTAAACATATACCCAAAAATACCACAGCTTGTTTTCCAAACGGTCACTTTGTTTACACAAGATAAAAATACCAGAAACTATTTACTGCATCCCTGGTTGGTAGCCAAACGGAAAATAAAACATTTTTAGATGAAGAAATAATAAATTATTTAAAAAACAAAGCAGCTGAGGTATATTAAAACTTTAGAACAACCTATAAAATGGCCGCCCTGGCCAGTTTGACTGCACAGTACACGGATTCCGAGAACGAAGGCGACGCCAGTCCGGATTCCCAAAATTCCACGGCTTCCCAGGTGAGCACTAATCAAAGATTCTCAAATTTATAGTAATCCCATAATATTAAATCAAAAACAGGTTATAATCCCGCCCAAGCGACCCTCGCCCACGCCCACCAAGCAGGATGGCGAAACCAAGCGGTCTAAGGACAAGAAAAAGAAGCGGGCCAAGAAAGTGCGCAGGCTGGTGAGCTACCAGGATGACACCTTGATTTCTGATGAAGAAGAGGATCGGGCAGCAGCGCAATCCAGCGAGGAGGAGTCCAGCAGTGCGGAAGACAGCGATAGCTCCGATTCTCAGGATGGAAACAGTCCCAAAACCAAGGACAAGAGCAATGCAGGAAATGGTTCCAAGGACGGAGACACTCCCATGGAGGTGGACGAGGAATCCGGTGGATTTCCCGCCGATGAACGTACTGCCGAAAGCTACGAAAAGGATCCCAAGTATGCCAAGTACAAGTTCCAGCTACCACCCGAACCCAAGGGCAAACCGTCCGCCGAGTTGGTGACCAAAATCACCAAGATGTACACGAAGATGCGTCAGACCAACATGGACATGAATCGTGTGATACAGGACCGCAAGGAGTTCCGGAATCCCAGCATCTATGACAAATTGATTAGCTTCTGCGACATCAACGAGTTTGGCACCAACTATCCGCCCGAGATCTATGATCCCTTGCAGTGGGGCGAGGAGTCCTACTACGAGTCCTTGGCGGCAGTTCAGAAAACAGAAATGCTAAAGCGACAGAAGGATCGCAAGGACATGGACAAGGTGGAGCAGGCCACAGCCTTGGCCAGAAAAGTCGAGGAGGAGGCCAAAAAGCGGTGAGACTGAATTTGCTGTTGAAAAATCTGAGAATGCATTGGTTATTCGATTTTATCTTGCAGCAAGTCCAAGTGGGATCAGCCGGCACCTTCAACCGTTGTAAAACCCACTCTTCCTGCTCTGACCACAACGGTTACGGGCACCAAGGGCACTGTCATCTCCGCCTTTGGATCGCTCCCTAAAAAACCAGCCGCTTAGATTGTAGTCACTAAATAAACATTTCGTTTTAAACAAAGCATCATTGTTGTAAACTAGACAAGGGGTGACTTCAAAACTAAGTTACGAAGAGGTCGAAATGTTTTTCAACTTAATATTCTAAAGAACTTGAAATTTGTATGTTGTTTTCCAAATACTTTCTGAAATATTTGGTAATTTGATTTTATAAAGTATTACTTATAAACTTACTGGTTTAAAAATTCTGATTATGTTGGCATAAAACGGCTGATAAATTGTGGACCGAAATTCATCCTAGTATTCATAGGAGCTTCAAATTATTTAACAATTAAGGGATGGAAGTACAAAATAAATAAAATATATTTAAAATTTGAGCATTCGCTCTGTTTTGGTATATTCTTGGTATGTTTTAAAAAGGAAATCAAAGAAGAAGAGAACTATCGATAGTTTGGTAATAACGCCTCCTGAAATCGAAGAAGAAGAGAACTATCGACCTGAAATCGAAGAAGAAGACTCATTCGATTGTGTGGGTTCAGTTGTGTTGTATTTTTGCGTTTTAAATCACAAAAACACAAATAGATACTGTGTTTATTGCATGCAGGCGTAATGATTTGAAAACAGAGAGTGCGTGGTAGTTAATTAACTTGCTAGTTTCGAGTTGGGGCAACGCAGCGCAACAACAACCACACACCGAGAGAAAAGAGAGGAGACAACGCAGCAGCAGCAAAAGAATTTTTCGATCTGGACGCAGCGAGTGAATGTGCGAGCGAGACAACCTGAGATTTGTATAAAAGATAAAAAAAGATGAAGAAGATGCCGAGATAATTGTAAAACCCAGTGTGCGTGTGTGTGGTGTGTGTGCTTGCGAGTGCTGAAAAATTTTGTTTAAACAATCTTGGCCGTGCCATTAATTCAAGGTGCATATAAATGCGGATGTGGCCATTTAGGCGAACAACCGGTATTTCGTCTGCCCCCTCTCTCTTCACATCCTTTTTTTTGTTCTTTTAGCTGCGCGAGTTGCTTTTTTTTGCCGCCACTTGCGCTGCATCGCCCCTCCCCCTCGCACTCGCTGGCAAGCTTATTTATAAACCGAGTTGCAAGAGCGGAACAGAAAAAGAATCACCGTTCAATTGTGGGCCATTTCAATGGGAGAGAGCGCCATTGTCTCTGGAATATGCATAATATTTAGCAACAACAAAGGAGGGGGAGAAATGTGGGGAGAAACGCGCAAGAAGAAGAGGAGCAAACCCCATCTTTTTGTTCCGCTCGCAACAATTGTAAATGAGACGCTCTGTCCCTCTCTCTCTTTCTCTACTTCTCTCACCTTTCGGCGCTGCCACTTGTTGGTGTGTTTGTTGTTTGCTCGCTGGTGTGCGAGTGTGTGTGTGTGTGTGTTGCCCTGCCCAAAAACAACTGAATTCTATTCATGTTTTTGCCTTTTCGACCGCAGGAAATCAAATGAGAGCGCACTCGATAAAACAGATAAAGAAAATACTGTTCGGCATCAGGTGTTAAAGTGCTAAACAATTCCGAAACGCAAAGAAAAG